CGTCGTTGCAAATGGCAAGATCTCATTCCTTTTGATGGCTGCATAATATTCCATTGTATATATATACCACATCTTCTTTATCCATTCATCTGTCATAAACTAGGTAAATTCTATTATAGAGTATAATTACTATTCAAAAAGTTAAAGCAGGTAAAACTATTTGGATACATTTCTGAAATTATTTGGGAGGCAAATGAAGGATAAAGACTTCAATCAAAAAGTCAAGATAAGCATCTCAGAGACAATCCTGGCTGCCTTAAGATAGATTGTTTACATCAAGAAAACGTGCATTCCCCACTTCCAAGGGGAAAAATGAATCAACCATCCAGAAAGCCTAGAGCTTAGTGACCTTCCACATATAACCTCCAAGTACACTGATTGATAAGCCAAAATATGCAACTTAGAATTATTGAAAAATATAATAATTTCCAAGTATATATGAATTTTAAAATTCAAAACTATTTTAGTTTTTTAGAATTGCAAAATCTTAGCTTTTATTTTTTAGAATTATAAAAACTTTAAAATAATCACCAAAATATTCCAATAACCATTCATTAATCAAAAATGGAAGAGAGGAAGAGGGGCACCTGGTGCCTCAGTTGGTTAAGTGCCTGACTCTTGATTTCAGCTCCGGTCATGGGCTCCAGGTCCTGGGATCCAGCCCTGTATGGGAGTTGATGATCAGTGTGGAATCTGCCTGAGATTGTCTCTCTCTCTCTCTCTCCCCTCTCCCCACTCATGCTCTCACTGTCTTTCTCAAATAAATAAATAAAATCTTTTAAAAAATGCAGTAAGAAAACTCTATACTCCAGTATCACAGTTTAGCTTTAAGTAAGGATTGCAAGTTTTATTTCACTTGTTTCCCCTTTTGTCCTTTTAAGATGTGCTTGGGAGCATCAATATTAATAATTGTTCCTAGTCATAAATGCTATTGGTACACAAAACAGGAGAGTTCATTGTAAAAGTAAAATAAAGATGTCCTGTAACTCATCAAATACAAATAGCTTTATACAGGACATGACAAATGTTTTCCTTCATCCTAGAAATGTTCTTCACATAATTTTGAAAAATAAAAATAAAACTAGTTAAGTGAATGGACATTGATAGCTTAGCCCACCCCATGAACCAAGGGACTTTATGCTTGTTTGTTTGTTTATAACAATTAAAAAGGGAAGAAAACAACCACTAAATTTCACAATGGTTTTGTGCCTCTGACTCTTATTATTGGTCATGTTTTATTGAACAAGTAGACTTCATTTAAAAACACAATTTAAGCCAAATGGCATTAAAGTGCTGCACACAAATATATATTGTTTTGCATACTGTAAATTCTTATTGTAATAAACACAAGGGGATCCTTCATACATGGTTCTTACTTTCTCTATTTTATTATTTATTTATTTATTTATTTATTTATTTATTTATTTTTAGAGAGAGAGAGAGAGCATGCACTCAAGCAGGGGGAGGGGCAGACAGAGGGGGAGAGGGAGAATCTTAAGCAGGCTCTACGCTGGGAGCCTGCCGCGGGGCTCAATCTCAGGACCCTGAGATCATGACTTGAGGAAAATCAAGAGTCCGACACTTAACCAACTGAGCCACCCAGGTGACCCGCTTTCTCTTTCTTTGAGAGATATAAATGACAGAGGATATTTCCATAGCTGGTATACCTTCCTGGGTATATTCACAGTTCAATAGTACGAAATGCTATCATTAAGTGCACAACAGAAAATGGAGCCCAGGAAGAGCTTCACAATAGATATGATATACTGAGGGTTACAGGCAATTCCCAGTATTCTATCAACTCTATCATTTTCTCTCCCAAATAAGAAAGCATATGGAATAGGATAGATTGACAATAATAGTAATTATATAAGCTATATTGCATTGGCTTTATTTATTCATAAAGAAAAAGCAAAGCAACCTCAAACTCTAGTACTTTATTACGAATACCTAATTATTCACCACACACCCCACACCTGATAACAAAACACAATAATTTTAACACTTGATTTCAGAGTCACTACCCTAATGAATTAAAACCCAAACCAAAGTTAACCAAAATTTTAATGTGGATTTGGCCAACAACATGATACACTCAATAGATTAAATCTCATTGATGAGAGAGAAATAAAACAGCTTTTAGATGATTTATTTTCATTTTCAAGTTGCTACTAAATTTTTTCATAAGTCACTTCTACCACACTCTAAATGACCTACAACATTTCCAATCTGTTCATCCCATCTTTGATATACCCTAAAAATATTAAATTGCATTTTTGTAATAATTACTATTCAAAAGCAAAAAAGACCTTAGAAGGTTTTATTATCATCACTGCAAACACTCCCCCCAAAAAGAAGTAGGAGTAATCAAATATAAAGTTTTCTTCCACTTATCCATACAACACCCATCCAACCCCACCTCTCTTATTGTACTTTTAGCCAAAGGTAAGTCAAAGTGGCTGATCCTCTAGGGACAATAATAGTGGTCACTCATAATATGCGATAGAAATTGTTTTATAGACCATCAACATTTAGTTTTAGACAAAAGCATGCGGGTAATTGTTTTTGCAAACATATCTGAATGTGCTCAATATTAATTTACACATACGTAACAAATATAGATAGGTCTAGCTATAGGAAAAACTAATGAGCTAAAGATGCAAGTTTTTAAACAGACATAGGTAACTAGAAGTCAGGCTCAGTTTCTACTAACTAAAATATTCTTCACTTTACATAATGATTTATTTCAAGAGTTCATAGAGAATTTCCATATGCATTCAAAATGAAAAAAATTACAAAATATCAGTTTAATCACATATTTCATAGAATATAAACAAGGCATAAGGAATGTCTGCATTTCTGTTATAAATTAAATGTGGACAAAATTTTTGGGACTTACCAATATGATTTCCATCATACTTGCATTTTTGACAAACGATTTAGAAAACTGATGCTTATAGGTCTTTTACACATCATATCTATTAAACACTAACTGAAAACATAAGGCATAAAGTGTTTCTGTGGAGAAAATAACTAGACCTTCCTACTGGGATTAGTCAGCCCTCTGAAACCATCTTTGGTACTTTATTAAAGGATCTAAGTTCTTTTCTATGAAACACACACACACACACACACACACACACACACATACACCTTGATAGCTTATATTATCTATATAATATTTATATAAACTGCTTCACTCTACAATTCACGATCATTCTTGGCTGGATTACCTGAATAACCCACCTGACATAATTTTGTTCCTACACGCATCCAATTATTAGCATGCAACAACATGACTTACCGGCCCAAAAGAATTACTGTCAAAACTGTGTCCATGATGATCACCTTCAACCCAGATGTGACCCCGGGGAACTTTGACATACCGGTTTTTGTGGCCGATGGTTCTAGAAATAAAGAGCATACATAACCACTGAGATAAGAACAGAAAGATCAAGTAGTTGAGCTTACAAAGAAACAAAGGGCAAAAATGCTGTTATAAAGATGCAACAGATAATTACAGGTGAACCATGAAGTTACTCTGTAACTTCATTTTTAAGTAACATTGGGTTAGGACTTGTAAAACCTATGCACAGTATTTTTTTTCACTTTTCTCTAGGTAAGAATTTTGTGCTAAAATATAATGCAGTAGCACTAATTACAATGTTTTACTACCATATTTAATTCTCAATATCCTAAGTATGTATTTTATGAAATAAGCTCTAACAAAATACAGATCTATTTATTTTCTGACATTTGCTTTTATGTCAATATTCAATTTGATCAACTGTAATCTTCGTATTTTTAGTCGAACTTCTCAAACCAACAGACAGCATTTTTCATAACCTCTTAATACTCTAAAAATCAGCATATATGAGAAATAACAACAACAAAACCCTGGATGATCCCTTGTCAGATTTAAACTCAATATCAGCTGAAAATGTTTTATCAGTATTATATTATTTCATAAATTATTCTTGAAAATGAGAAACTTTGTAACAATTTGGAAGACTATTAAAGATTAATGATCAATGATACATATTTAGTGGAACATTCTATATTCCTTTCTTTAAAAGATTTATTTATTTATTTGAGGAGGTGGGAGGGGCAGAGGGAAAATGAGAGAGAGAATCCTCAAGCAGACTCCCCACTGAGTGTGGAGCCCAATGCAGGGCTCCATCCCAGGACCCAGAGATCATGACCTGAGCCGAAATCAAAAGTCAGACGCTCAACTGACAAGCCACCCAGGTGCCCCAGGAACATTGTATATTCTTAAGGTTGACAAGGAAACAGAATAAGAAAAGGCTCTCTCATATAGTGTTGGTGGCAATATAAAATGATAAAACTTTTTCTCCTATTTGCAATTTGGGACTTATTTTCATCAAATTTGTTAAGAGACTAAAATGTACATGCCTTTGACCTAGTTATTATACTTTTAGTGTAGAAATCCATTCCAAAAAAATAATCAGAAATGTAAACAAATATTTATTATCAGGAGTATTCAACACAAACATTTTTTTTAAAGCAAGGCAGACTGCCACATGCAGCGCCCTATTTGGATGTGTCCAGAGTCTTGGAAGCTTGACTACCCTACATTCTACAGGTGGACCTGGGCAGCTCGTTTGTAGGTTTCAGCAGGGGAATGCAGCTACTCCTATACCCTTGACCGAAGAACAGTCCTCCTCTATTGGGAAAGGGAGAGTAGCACGCGTCAGGAGGGATGCACAGGGAGCAGTGAGGAAGGAAAGGGCCCCCCCCTAGCCAGCCAGATCAGCTGAATCAACCCTGGCAATCAATGGGGTGACAGATATCACAGCCAGATCGCCCTCACATCCTCAACACAAGCTTTTTTTTTTTTTTAAATGCAGGCTTTTTATAACATATATATTATTTCCTAAATATTCTACAACATGGGAATGGTTAAATAAATTATGATACAACCAATTTAATAAGAGGAACAAGATCAGAATAAAATATTATCCAATTCTATAATAATAAATTCTTTTGAGGGCAGAGACCGTTTTTTTTGTTTTGTTTTGTTTACTCACCAAAGCATTTGGGAAAATGCTTAGCCTAAAAAAGCTTCTCAATAAATGCTGGTTGAATGAATGAATGAGTGAACGTCACCTCTAAGTCTATAGAATTAAGCACAGAAACTGAGCTTTGTGAGCTATTCTTTGGTGTAGAGTCCCTTTCAGACCATTTTTGTTAGTTAGCAGGTTTTATGTGTGCAGAAGAATGCATTAAAAAGAAAAGACTACACATAAATTGGTGCTATAGAAATTGAAACTATTCATTATCTAGAATGGTTTTTAATTTTCAAGATAACTTCAGTGTTGAATTACTTTGCTTGAGGTCAGTAAATCATTCATGCAAGGAAGCAATGTTGTGGCCATTAGAAGCCCACAGTAAGTTAATGACTGCCATTTATTTTTAATTACTACTGGGAAGAAGAGTGAGCTTTTTAAAGAAAAGCAAAAACAAGTTTTTTTGCACATCTCACCGTCATATAGTCTGTAACATAAGTGTTCTTCAATTAAAATCTGTCAATTAGTTCTGGACATCACTACTGCTTTTATCATGAGATTGCCTCGAAGAACTAATATCCCACATCAAGTGTTAATGATGGGAGAAGGCCGTTTTCCTTAATTGTTGGCAAGGCACACTTTCCTATTAAGTCCAAACATTGGTTCACCTTATTATGCTGGTTATTTTTGATAGTTAGAAAGAAAACAATTACTCATTTTGTCTCTTCAAGCAAATTATGAAATAAAACCAGCATAAAATCATCTCTGCAATGAAATGGTAGATGTTAAGTCACACATATTCTTCTGGAAACCAGAAGAATGATATAAAACTCAGATTCAGTTTCAATGTCATATGAACCAGGGAGTCAAGATACTTGTGATAGAAAATGACAGTATCATAAAATTACCAGTGACAGTTGCACATTTCCTTGCATTGACCATCTTATCTAAAAAATTTGAATACACCCATCTTCCCATCATTTTCTAGCCTCTTATATCGCTTTATTTTTCTTCATTGCAGTTACTAACACTTGACATTCACTTATTGTTTTTTTTTGTTTATTGCCTATCTCCCTCCACAACTAGAATGTAAACTTCGGAACTTTGACTTTATTTTTCACTTTCTTTGTATCCCCAGAGCCCAGAAGAAAGTATTGTACAAAGTGTTCAACAAATATTTGTTAAATAAATGACCAAATGACTGAATAACTGAAGAATAAAAAATACTGCAACAAAGGCAGAATAATAGGGTGGAAAGTTCAGAGTCTGGAACCGGTTCTAATCTTTCTTTTCTTTTCTTTTTTTTAAAGATTTTATTTATTTATTCATGAGAGTCAGAGAGAGAGAGAGAGGCAGAGGGAGAAGCAGGCTCCCAAGAAGCAGGGAGCCCGATGCGGGACTCAATCCCAGGACGCCGGGATCACGACCTGAGCCGAAGGCAGACGCCCAACCATCTGAGCCACCCAGGCACCCAGGAACCGGTTCTAATCTTGCTACTAGAACTCATAAGGAATCTTGTGCAAGTTACTTAGTGTCTACCTCCATCTGCCTATCTTTAAAATAGGATGAATAAGACATACCCCAACTGGGTTGAGATGAAGATCAGTAGTTAAATGAGAATATACTGGAGAGGTTACTAGAGAGCATAGTCTCTGCAATCAGCCTATTTTGGCTTTTCTATCTGACTGAACACTTTCAAGTTCATGTGACCTTGGGAAAGTTGATGCAACTCTGTCAGTGTTCTCATTTGGAGAACAGAGCAAATAATGGTACCTAACTCAAACAGTTGTTCCATGAATAAAGTGGTATGTATTAAACACTTGATAAATGGATTCTCGCATAGTTGAGACTGTTTTTAAGCACTCAGTATAGTTCTGATATATGGTAAGAACCCAATAAGTGGTAGTTATTATTGCTATTGTCTTCCTTTGTCCACTATTTTCTTTCTTTTCATAATTCAGAATGTATTCAGCCTCCACTATCTATTAGCATCAGTCTCTTAAAATTACCTGAGTTATGCTTCAATAATTTCTTTTCCCCATAGTTGCACTGTGACTATAGACAATTTTTTATATTACAATAAATCTTTTTTTTTTCTTTTTATTCATATGCCCTTCTGGGATACTCTAAAACTTATATGTGAAAACACAATCTCTTTGGGCATATTTAAATATGCAGAGAGTAGTAGGTGAAAACACAAATAGATTGTGTTGCATTAATCACTTGCATTTACTAATCACTTGCATTTTTTAATGTCACAGTGCTAATAGGAGTGGTTTACCTTGCTACCAGACAGGTGTAAAAGAACACTTTGAGCTGTAGAACTCTGATAAAATTCATGCCATTTGCATAGTGCATATTTCTCAGGTTTCAATCTAACTTTTTAAAAAATAACCCAAAGTAGCTTTAAAAAATATGATGTTAAAATATCAAGCTGGTTCCTTTTAGGACTGCCAAGGAAATATAATACTCCTAATAGAATTCCTCTGGAGAAGGAATTTTAAATTGCTTTGTGCTTCTGAATTCACATAAAAGAAAGACAAGATAATCTTTCAGGTGATTTAACAGTTAAGTAAGGTGTCAGCATACAAGGTTGTATGTATCTATGGCTTGCAAATAATTTTGGTTTGACAGTCAAAAATGAGTTTTGTATGGTATTTTAACTACCTGTCTACAAAGAGGCATTTTTAGTACTAGCATTACCAAGACAAGTTACTAGGTTTTATAAATGGAATAAAGAATGATTGCCTTCAATTTTATTTGACCTTGAAAAACATTTTTTAAAAAATTTCAGAGTCTTTTGAGTGTCATCAGTTGAATACAAAATTATCAATATAAGCCCTGATACCACAAGAGGGAAACAAATTCATATTTAAAGTATTTCCCAAATACACACACAAATACTTGTACATTCTTAACTTGGGTGATTAGTATTAATAATTCATGATTTATTGAAGTATTTTTATTTCTTTATTTTTCAAACAATTGTATTGATTATTCTCATTGTCCAAAGTAGTGGCTTCCCTGAATATGTTTACTACTCCCTGGATCCTAGAACCCTGGTTTTCATTATCCTGAAGGGACTAGATGTCAAGGGCTCAGGACTCAGCAAGATCAGGAATTGGAACTAGATCTCTTTCAACATCATCATCACTGATAGACTGGACTAGGAAAAAAAATAATCTGCCATCAGGAAAGGAAAACAAGAAGGACACTTGTCTATCAAGGTTTGGCATCTAGAAGAGACAATAATTCTCCCTTGAGAATCCACATCCTGCTCGCAGATGAGATTGGGGTTCAAATTCACACTGCTTGTGTAGTCCAGGAAAATTAAGAGTTAACTTTAATTGGCCCCAGGAATCTGGCAGAAGGAAATATGT